ATCTGGGTTCTACCTAAAACTTGTGGGGAATACAGGATGCCAGCCTGCTCCAGACCTGTCGAAACAACTTCTCAATTCACATACTGGCAGATCTTGAAGATACGGGGGCTCGGGGGCTCGAGCGTAAGGAGGTGGGCTGTCAGTCCATTCAGTGTGGAACAGAATCGGGGAAACGTTTGAAATATTGCAGGAATTGGCAAAATACGACACACAGGCAGAAAGTGAATACGTGTTGCTGGGAAAAACGGTGCTGACTGGCTCGATACTGAGTTGCCACAAATCTTCAGTTTGGAAAATAATGTCATATCTTCAAAGCATAAGAAAACAAGACATACCTATAATGCATATGCTCATTAAAATTTGAAAAGATTAGAGATAATTTTTTAGTCCAACACTTTTGTTTCTCTCTCTCCCACCCTCCCTAACACACACACACACACACACACACATTCTCCCCCACCCCCTTCTCATTCTCCCTCTCACACACACACACACACCCCATTCCAAAGAGACAAGGAAACTGAGGCACAGGATAAGTTATTCAAAAATACAAATGTGATTATTTGGTGCCCTTTTCCCCGTTACACTGCAAGAAATAGAGAAGCAAGCATTTCCACAGCCTTATTCAAAGTGCTCTGTGGAAAGAAGTTAGCAAGCAATAATAGGCTTCTTAAAAGCTTTGGAGATCTATTAACAATTCCTTTGATCAGCCATAGATTCCTTGACAATGTCCCCTTAGAAGCTAAGGGGATTAATTATGCAGCAGTTTGCTTTAAAACATTTTCCTTTGATTGGTTTTAATCCCCTCCCCATGCAGTTTTGGAAACAACCTAAAGAAAACACAGCTCAGGAGATCCAAGTTCTTCTACCAGCCACGCAGGGAGGGTACTGGATTTTCCCGAAGGAATGCTCTGCACGCCAGTCAAAACAGTAACAAGTTTATAGCCCAAGAAAACACACAGCGCTCACAGATATCACTTCTACCTGTCAGGCAGAATCTTTCAAATTCCCCTGAAGAACATTTCCAAAGCCAGTTTGTTGTTGCTGCTGTTGTGCGCTGACTCTCCACTGGGTTTTTCTTTTATTATTATTATTTAATGAAAATTTACAGACTTTGGATTTCCACTCATTCATTGTTGCACTTTTCTCCCTGTCCACCCCTCCTCCCCCTCCCTTTGTACTTCTTTTTGAAAAGTAAAAGAAAAATTCTTTTGTTGGTATACAATCCACACCCCACACCCTCCTCCGAGTCCACTCCACTGTGCAGCCTTCATTTGGACTCTTGTCATAACCATAATACCCAATCGTATAGCCCTTTTAAACAGTTCTCTCCCTCATCTGTTTGAATGCAGTTTACGTAATTTATCCCATCTTTCTCAGTCTCCCCTCTACCCTGATGTCAGTCCCGTTTTACAACAGTGGCACTATGCAGTATTTCTCTTTTTGTGACTGAGATATTTCGCTCAGCATAATGTCCTCCAGGATCACCCATTTATATTTCATGAGTTCCTTGTTTTTCAGTGCAGCGTAGTATTGCATTGTGTGAATGTATTTTTTCAAGGGCAGTAAATTGCTCAGAAGGAGCTTGCCCGTCCTTCTCCCATGGAGCAGTTGGTGGATTTGAACCATGTGCCTTTGGGATTGCAGCACTGCTTCTTGCCACTAAGCCACCAGAGCTCCCTGTTTTCATTGCTGTTCGTTGCTATCAAGTCAGCTCCAAAGCACAGCAACCTGAACCTGATGTTGCCACTTCACAAGCTTTGTGTTTCTCCCCCAGGACTATGCAGGGTCACATTGTCTCATGACCCCTACAGTTCTCATTGCTTAATTCTTAGAAGTAGTACCCAGGCCTCTCTTCCTAGTGTATCTTCATTTAGAAACAGCAGTATCCTGCCCACCAGGGTTGACCACGGTAGTATTTGAAATACTGGCAGCAGGACTTGCAGCATGATAGCAGTGTGCAAGCCTCCCTGGTGAGAGGAACAGGCACATGGGGGGTGGAGAGCCACCTACAAGAGGGCAAAACCCTTACTGCTTTCTCCACTGCTAAGAGTGTCATCTCTGCTTAGAAGAGATCTCGACAGTGTGTTTCTGGCTTCCAGCTTCACTACTACGAACAGGTGCATTAGGAATAAACATGGAGAAGGTCGTGATCTGTACCTTCAGCTCCATTTCTAGGAAAGCCTCTCACAGCGAAGTAACGAGCACAGGAAGAAAGTAAAAATCTGAAGCCTGCACATTTCAGCGGGAAATGCCAAGGAATGATGTCACTGGTGGCCTTCAGTAATGGCAGCTCTGTGTAACTCTCTGTGATCCTAATTTCCCTGAAATAAGCAGAGGGAACAGAACATGAGCAATATCAATTCCTAGAAATATTCTTCAAAGAGGACTCAGTAGTCTTATCTACTTAAGAATATTAAGAAAAAGGGAAAGAAAAAAAAAAGAATCAGCATTAGCTCAGTTTGCACAGATGCGATCTGTGCCCTGAGAGAAAAAGCTCTGTCGGGGGGGGGGGGGGGGGAGAGAATGTGACCTTACTTTTGAAATACATAGTACTGTAGGTCAGACTTTCAAGTTGTCACCAAAAAAGAAGAAGAGGAGGAAGGGCAGGTGTGTTAATTATCAGTTGGCAGAGACCTGAGTCCTTGCCCCACCCCACCCCCACCCACCTCGTTCTGCGTCCTGTGGATACTTCCTAAGTTAGATAGAAAGAAGATTGATGCCTTTGAGCTGTGGTGCTGGAGAAGAGTGTTGAATATACCATGGACTGCTAGGAGAACAAACAGCTTTGTCCCGGAGAAGGTGAAACCAGAGTGTTCCCTGAAGTCAAGGATTCTGGAGCTTTGTCTGACATGCTTTGGGCATGTTGCAAGGAGGGACTGGTCCTTGGAGAGGAACATCATGTTTGGCAGAGTGGAGGGGCGGCGAAGGAGAGGAAGACCTTTGATGAGATGGATCGATTCTGTGACGGGAGTGGTGGGAATGAGTGCGTTTGAGATAGCGAGGTTGGCACAGGATAGAATAGCGTTTAGAGCTCTTGTACATAGGGTCGCTATGAGTCGCAAGCGACTCGATGGTATATAGCAACAACAACAACAAGAGGTATACAATACATATGGTGTATTTCACAACATATATTCAGTATCTAGATCATTCAAGTCTTCTAAAAGCATATAAGGTACCCTTTACAAAAAATGTGGAGGGCTGGATAGTCACAGAAATGTTCCCCAGTCATCCAACTGCTTGGGGAAAGCATTAAAAAGGAATGTTTTGTCAATATGACTGAACTGGTGGCAAAGGGAAGCTCCTGGGGGATGGAAATGATAGTGAGGTGCAAATCCAGAGTTCAACACATGAGGAAAACAGAGTGAGGAAGGAGGGAGGGAAGAAGAAAGAGAAGGAAAGAGAGAGGAAAGGAGGAGGAGAGAGAAAGAAAGTGAGAAGGAGAGTGAGGGGAAGGGAGGGAGGGAGGAGAGAGACACAGAGAAAGTGTGTTCAGTTTAGGGAATCATAGCCCCTGTGCACAGACCAAAACCCCATCGCCGTCCAGTCGCTTTTGACTCACAAGGATTCTATAGGACAGTGGAATTCTAAAGTATCATTGTGTTTCCAAGACCGTAAATCTTTGTGGAAGCAAAGAGCTTCATCTTTCTCCAGAGGAGCAGCTAGTGGGTTCAATCCGCCCACCTCTCTGTTAACAGTTACACACCTAACCACTGTGCCCACAGGGCTCCTTCACTTCACGAAAAAGGGAGGAAAAATCCTGGGAGTCAGCAGGATAAACGAGGACATAACCTTGAGAAAAGACGCCTCAGTGGGAACGCCTGGCCTACACTGCAGAGCATAGATACTTAACAAGCCCTGGGGTGTTCATAAGGGCTGTTGTTCTGAAGTGTGTTTTCTGAATCATGGCATTAATGAGTCTATTTCTTGGACAGTTAGAATTGACAGTACAGGACCTGAAAGAAATGATAGAGTTTTTCATGAATGTTTTCTTTCCTGTCTAATATATTTTCTTGATAATATACAGGGAAGTCGAGGGGCAGAATAAAATGGCAATGTGTTCTTTTTGAAATGTTAGTTCAATGTAGATACAACTCTTAGACAAGCCTAGGAAACATTAGCCACATTTATGTTTACGGAATATTTGCGTGGTGAAAATGAATAGCATATTGATTACAGTGATGGATTTGGCTTGTCACATTAGCTAAAGTAGGGCCCATGCACCCTTAAATGCATTCCCTCAGCTACGTCTGTGCACACTGAAAACATTCCGCCAGTTTGAGAAGATGCGCTCTTTAGTGAAAGACTCAGAGTGGCTATTTAAATGCAGAAAGAGGAGAAATGTACATGTCAAGGACAATCTGAAGGAAGTACGTGCATTCTGCTCCATTCCAATAACAGCCCTAAATCCATTGACAACAAGAGATCAAGGAAATTTACTGATGATGAAAACCTTCCACTTGAAAAATGGACTATAGATGTCATTAATAAATTAGGATAAAGATACTGACAAGAGCTAAGAGAACTTGGCATTTAGACAGGATTAATTCAAATACAGCCGTACTGGGTTATGCTTCACTTATCATCTCAGCAACGCCTGATATGATGTGATATGATATGAGATGATATGAGATGAAATGATGTGATATGATATGTTTAGTTAAGGTGGGAGATGTGGTATCTGCTTATGAGACGAATACTACCACATCAGGACGCATTTAGACCACCCCATTGGCAGGCAGTGCTAGGGGGATGCACGCAGGTCTGGAGGCATGGACATGGTGGTAGAAGCACCAAGAAGTTGAACAGAGTAAATGAGGGGGAGGGAGAGGAAGCTCACCTGGAAGACAACATGAAGACGGGGTCCCAGAGGAGAGAGGAAGGCAGGACACGGCAGAATTAAAGCTACACAATGTGGGATATGGTGCACCTTGCAGGTGTGTTTCCCAAACTTGGTGACTATTCACGAAGCCCCCTCTTTCTCTTGTCTCCTTCAGTGTTTACGTATCCAGAAAATGGCACGGATGATTTCAGAGACCCAGCAAAGAACATAAACCACCAGGTAATTATCAATGTCACCAAAGATGGAAGAGCCCAGTGCAGACCACAACCCAACTGGGTGGTGAAATCAATTTAGAGGGTCCCAGAGTAGCGTTTTTAAAGACTAGATAGAGCAGTCTGCACTGATAGCATAGAACACAAGAGACAGATCAGAATGCTTCCAAGGTCATAAAGAAAAATCTTGTTTTGTGCAGTGTTTCAATTAGATATGTTATAGGCAAGTAATATATAATGGATAAAGCATTTCATTCTCTAGTATATGTTATTATATTAAGTATATACTTTTATATTTATTCATTCATTTTTATAAGTATAAGGAACCTAAGTTTGACTACCATAGAGTAGAATGGAAGCCAGCAAAATGTATGGGAGGTTACAAAACAATACATAGAATTATGTGCCACTTTTATTGGTGTTTCACATATATATAAACACAAACAAACAAAAACCCTTGAAGCCCTCTACAGCAAGTCATTTGAGACCCATAGTGACTCTTCCTACAGTTTCCAAGTCTCTAAATCTGAGGGGAAAGAGGTTGCATATCTCTCTCCATTGGAGAGCTGGTGGATTTGAACCACCCACCTTTGGTGAGCAGCAAAATGCGACACTTACATATATACAGGTGTGTGTGTGTGTGTGTGTGCACACGCGTGCGTATGTGTGTATATATAGTATAGTGTATGTAATATATATATAAATATATAAATATATATATATATATATATATATATCTCCGTCCATATATCCCCCACCCCCCTTTCATATGTATCTTCTGTTGTTAATTGCCGTCGAGTCAAGCACGACTCATAGCAACCCTATGAACAAAAGGACTGAAGATTTTCTATAACTATCGTAGTTTCTCCTAGTTCATAGGGTTTCCAGAGGCATGTGGTTTAGGAAGTGGATGCCACTCCTGCTTCCAAAGCTGTCTTAAACTGGGAGCTCCACCAAACACTGTCCACCATGGGCAGTCATTATGGCATTTGATCCCCCTGTGGCGCAAGGTTCAGCATCCCAGCAAACTCAGATTACCTCAGTGCAGCAAATTGACAGAGGAGTGCTGTACAACTTAGAAGAATATATATACACACATACAGACATAGATAGATGATAGATAGATAGATAGATAGATAGATAGATAGATAGATAGATAGATAGATATAAACAAAAGTCCTGAAATCTTTCTATAACTATCATCGATTTTCCAAGTTCATCGAGTTTCCAGAGACATGTGGTTTAGGAGGTGGATGCCACTCCTGCTTCCAAACCTGAATCAATCTGGAAGCTCCTCCAAACACTGCCCACTATTGGCAGCCATTACGGTGTTTGGCACACCTATGGTACAGTTGTTCCATTATGGCATTTGAGATCCCAATGGCACAAGGTTCAGCGTCACAGCAAACCCAGATGACTTCAGCACAGCAAATTGACCAGAGTGCTGTATATCTTAGAAGGATGTTCCTCCAGAATATGGTAACAAGGGATTAAAATATAATCCCTGGGGCCCAACTTTTATATATAAGGGCCCGCCAGGAGGTCTTGTTGACTCCAAACAAGCAGGTTATATAAAAAAACAACCACAAAATTCACACAGATCCTCAACCAAAACGAGAGCACCATCTTACAGAGTCCACCACTTCACCCAACTCCAAAACGGAGGCAAGGACTCTGCACTATGTCGTTGTTGTTAAGTGTTGTTGAGTAGCAACCCTATAAACAAAAGCCATTAACCCCGTTCTGTAACTATTGTCCTTTTTCAAAGTTCATGGAGTTTCCACAGGCATGTTTGGGAAGTGGATGTTACTCCTACTTCCAAGCCTGTCTTAATCTGTGAGCTATAGTAAACATTGTCGGCCGTATATAACCATTATGGCACTTGAAGCAGCGCAAGAAAGCCATTCAGTGTCATAGCAATCCCAACTTTCCTCAGTGCAGTGACGTGACAGAACAGTGCCATCCCACAAAGAAAAATGTTCATTTCAAGCACAAAATGAGGCCCAAAAGACGCAGGCCCTTGGGCCCAAATGAATTTTAAAAAAACCCAGACTGTGCATCAGTCTCTCATTAGCTCCAACAAGAGGATCCCAACCCACACTCAGCACCAACCGGCCAGGCCAGAGCAAACCTCCATCCACTACAAAAGAAATCGCCCCTTCAAAGTCAAAGGAATTTTAAAAAACCCAGCCCGCGCATCAGTCTTTCATTGACTTCAACAAGAGGCTTCCTGGCCACACTCAGCACCAACCAGCCAGGCCAGAGCCAAACTCTATCCTGTGCAAAATACCTCGCCCCTCCAAAATCCAATAAACTTTTAAAACCCCAGCCCGTGCCTCAGTCCCTCATTTGCACCAACAAGAGGCTTTCAACCCACACTCAGCACAAACCAGCCAGAAATATATAGCATATTTTAAGTGTATTATTGTATATTTAATTCTAAAATTATGCATTACATAATCTATGGTATAATTTTAAATATCTTTCAGAGAATACGCCATCCCCTTTTCCTTATGACTCAGGGTGAAGTCTCTCTCAGGGAGGAGTGATAGGGAATGGCAAAGGACACACTGACAAAGAAGATTAATCAGAACTGGCTTTGACAAGCACTGTGGCATTTGGACAAGAACAAACTGGGAGGAGGGTAGAGAGAATGGTGCAGCGGTGAATGAATGGAAACCCAAAATCTCTGTAAATGTTTATGAAAATTAATAAAATATAATTATAGAAAAGAAAAAAAAAGAAATGATGAGTTGTAAAATTTTATATGACTTTCACATTTATTTGGTAAATATAAGCAGCATATCTGTACCTATATATGTATATACACACATATGTATTTTTTATGTATAGACATATATATGGATGTAGTGGTAAGAAGCTGTGCTGCAATCCCAAAGGCACATGGTTCAAATCCACCAGCTCCTCCTCAGGAGAAGGATAGTCAGTCTCTTCCTGTGTGAATTACAGCCTCTCAAAACCCACTGGAAGGTCAGCTATGAGTTGGTTTTGATTTGACAAAAAAAGAAACCAACAAAATACAGACATTTAGACATATATCACTGTTTTATAGTCTGTAAACGGGGACTAACAGTAGGATCTCCCACATAGGGTTAATGACCGTTCGGAGTAAGATGTGACATGTAGCATAATGACAATAATGACAGTGAGCTATCAAAATTAGTAACTTTCCTTATTGGTCCAAAGGCTGGATAACCATCTTATAAATTAAGTCAATCTGAGTCCTAATCCCGTGCTTTTCTACAACATCAAAGAACTGATTGCTAGATTAATATACCTGCTTATCTTTGGCTATGTTAGATGGCAAAATTTATTCTAATTACTAAAAAGATAATTTTAAGATGCAGGACTTATTTGCTGATACTGATGTATCATTTTTATAAAGAGAATACTGTCATTCCTGAGGCCAAACTCATGTAATTTTCACATTTTTTTTAAAAAAAAACAACCTTTAATTTGAAGAAAAGTATATGGAATCAAATTCAACTAAATGGAAGTAAATCTAAGGTTTGAAGATGACCTTTAACAATGGTTAGACTTTTTTAGCCTATAAGATCCTATCCACTGAAGAAACATTAAATCATTGTTTTCACTTTCTGTTTTCTTTCTTTTTTTCTCTCTTCCTGTTTTCTCTTTTTTTTTTTTTTTTCTCTTCCAGGGACCTCTTTCCAAAGACACATTACAGATGAACACCTATGTTGCCTTGTACAAATTTGTTCCCCAGGAGAATGAAGACTTGGAAATGAGGTAAAAACTTTTTTTAAGGGAAAAAAAAGATAACCTTCAGTCAGTGTTTGTCCATGTGAAAATAATTATTCCATTTGTTCTACCTCCTAACGCTTTGTGAGAGGACAGGCAGTCTCCTCCCATGAGATTTACTGCCTCTGAAAACCCACTCAAGGGTCAGCTCTCAGTTCTGACTCAAGGACACAAAATCAGCCAATCAACCTAACACTTTAGAGCAGCGACCTTTAGTCCACATCCAAATGACCTAAAGGACAGATTGTCTGTTCTTATCCCCCGAGGGTCTCATGAAGTGGAACTGAAAGATTTCCATTTCCAACACAGCAGGAGGGGCTGATGCGAATAGCCCCAGGACCATACTTCAAGAAGAATTGCTTTAGTAAAACAGGGAGCTGTGGTGGCCTAGTGGGTAAGGAGTTGCCCTGCCAACTGAAAGACAGGCAGTTCGAATCTACCAGCTGCTTCCCAGGAGAAAGATGGGAAGTCTCCTCCCTTGTGATTTACAGCCTCTTGAAATCCCAGTGGTGGATCTGTCATGAGTCAAGCCCAACTCAATGATTTGAGAGCTTTTAGCAAATGACCAGTAGGACCGCTGATGGGAGTTTTCAAGAAGTTAGCCTTCATCAGAAGTGCTTGCTATCCTGGGAATCCTGATAGGAAATCAAAGTCATATCTGTTTAATCCTCAAATTAACCCTGACTGAGGAAGCAAACTCAGATTCTGAAAAGAAAACCACTCTAAGGTAGTCACCTATGCATCAGTTTCAACTCAATCACATATAACAACACAAATATTATGGCGTCTTTCTTGAAATTGTCACTGGGATCTCTGGAATTCAAATTTTATCATTTCCTCTTCTACAAGGAGTCCTGAGGGACACAACCAATTCAGTCACTGAGCTGCTTACAGGAAGGATGGCGGTTTGAACACACCAAGAAATGTCTAGAGATCTGCTAGAGTTCGTGGCCTTGAAAACCCCATGTTCAACGGTGCTTCTCCTGCCCCGCAAAGGGTCACCAGGAGTGAGAACTGGCTCAGTGGCAGCTGGCTTGACTGGCTTGACTCTGTTTAGGTTCCTATTTCACAGGCCCCACAGTCTTACACGAAAACTTTTTTTTTAAGCCATTAGATTTTTTAAAAAATCATAATATGGTACTGAGGTACTGAGTAATAGTTTCTCCCTGCCTCGCGATGGTAGTAACTTTTCTGTGCTTATTTTAGTCGGTTGCAGGCCATTAAAAGTCAAGATGTCTGGTCACGAATCAAACGTTTACAGTCTGCTCCCAGGCAAACAGGCTATTCATTCCCAGAAGTGAAATGTCTGTGTCGCGTCGACTGCAAGATTGCAGTGATAAATCACACTTGCTTTTTATTATTTTTTTTTCCAAGAGATCGTAGGTTCCAATTTAAAAGCAGGGTGCTTGATTTAGAATGTGTAAGGCATTGCTTTGGGGTTTTGGTATAATTCCTTGAATGAAATGATGTTTTGAGGACTCTTTTTCTCCTCAAATCTCAAAGCGAGGGCGGCGGGGGAGGTGGGAGGGAAAGTCCTTTTAATAAAATAGCATTTTAAATCACCTGCATCTTTGTCTGCAGGGAGTATAGTGTAAACAGTGTCCTAGGGAAGAAAAGAGATGAGAGGACAGCAGAAGTCCTCAAGGGTGAACTTGAGGACAAAGATGAGCCTCATGGCAAAGCCAACACAGATCAGAACAGCGTAAATCCTTACTTCCACAAGTATTTGTTTTGTATCCGCTCAGCAATCAAGTCTGAGAGTCTTTGATTGTTTAGTGGTGCGATTCATTCTGCCCAGGCAGGAGACCCAAGGTTCGATTTCCAAGGCCCTTCATACACAGCCACTATCCCCTGACCACAGAAGCTTGTGTGTCCCTGTGATCCTGACAGATTTTAGTGGGGTTTGCAGACTGACACTAGGAAGAAAGGCCTGGTGATCTCCCTCTGAAAGTCAGCCTTTGAAAACTGTGAATCACAGAGATCTGATGTCCAAACCAGCATGCATGGGCTTCCCATGAGGTAGTAGCCACTAATCACTGCAGTAACAGAGAAAAGTTCTTCTGCCAAGGACCAGGAGCCCAGGTTTCTCTTCTGAATTCACATCCAGACCCTACCTGTCCACCCCACAGGTACTGCACAGTAGTCCCACCAACCCTCCCTCCCACAAACCTACTCTGTAGGAAGAATGATGTCCCTCCCAGCCCAGGACTCCAGCCAGCCATTAAGAACTTGTCCCTTTACTTCGTGCCCAAAATAATACTGATAATCAATATCTACTGCACCTCTTTACTTAAACCTACTGAGTCTGTTCCAGGCTTCATCTTTCCACTGACCCTACCTGGTTTTGCCCCCTCTCCCTCCCTTCTGACCCAGTAAGACCCTAAGACAATGGTGGAGTATAATGGGATCTTCTAAACACTAAGACAATGGTAAGGTGTAATGCGATCATCTAACCACTGAGACAATGGTAGGGTGTAATGGGGTCTTCTCAACATTCCAGTTGGACAGAGGGATTCACACCCTAACTCCTACTTTCTAATAGAACCTATTACCTCACTTCCTGATCTCTAGGGTTGTGGGGTTTTTTTTTTATCCCCATCTTAAAAAATAGGGGTGATACAGCCTGTCTTTTTAAGAATGTCACAGTTAAATAGAGGAACTCTGGTAGAGCAGTGGGTTAAATGACCAAAGAGTTAGCCATTTGAACCAACAAGCATCTCTCTGGGAGAAAGACGAAGCTGTCAAGTTCTAGAAGATTACAGCCTTGCAAACCCCATGGGGTAGCTCTACCCTGGCCTGTAGGCCCCCCTTGAAGCAGAATCAGCTTAGTAACAGTGCATTGGGTTTGGACTGGTGACTAGCTAATAATATCTGGCACGCAGCGTGAGCTTATTAAATGCTAATTCCAATATTTGGATTTAATGCTGCAGAATAGATACTTCTTTTTCAGAGTTAAGAAATGCAAGGGGGGGAGGAAGGGGAGGAGGAAGGAGGATGGAAGAAAAGAGCGAGAGGTTGGCTATTCCATCAGCGTGGATTTACTCAATATATAAAAATAGCGTGTGTTTGAAGTGCTAAGAACAAACATGACGATGTGGCCCTTCAAGTCAGAAGTGCTCAACGTCCAGTGTAATCTGGCCCTTCCACGGCCACATGAGCCCCGGGATGCTAGAACAGTTAAACGAGCTGGCCAGCCTCTGCTTCTTCTCTTCTGAAAGGATGTTACCTTTTGGCCTCCATGAGGTCTGGAACCAACACATAGACCTTTGCTTAAAACTATCCATTATCTAAGGGGGCTCTGGTGGCCTAGTGCTAAGAAGCTGTACTGTAATCCCAGAGATATGTGGTTCAAATCCACCAGATTCTCTGCTGGAGAAGGAGGGACAATCTCCTCTTGTACCAGTCATCTAAACCAGATCTGATTTGATGGTGCATGCACAAAAAGTAATAATTTAAAAAAAAAAAAAACTATCCAATATCCTCCCACTGATCTGAGGCCCCTAATATTTCAGGGACCGTAAGGCCCAGTATGGCCTTATCCATCATGATACCCCTGCTTTTCCATATACTGTTGTTCCATCACTCTCCGCTGCCTTTTCCTTTCCTTCAAAGGATCCTGTGACCACTTGTGACTTTTACACAGATTCCAACCTGTAGTCTGCTTCCCCCTGTCCTCCCGCTCACTCCCATCTCCACCTGTAGAAAAAGGTAGAACTGTCCATGGGGCGTTCAAGTCCGCCATCTTTACTTAAAGTAGACTGCCTCGTCTTTTTCCCCCGTGGAATCACTGATGGACTTAATCCCCTGGCCATCCATGAGGGCTTATTTTGACACTATTCTAAGTTGATAATGATTCAACCACTGGCTCGCAGTCATAGTCCTTTGATATTACAAACTGTCAAAACGGTTAGCAGCTAACTGAGAAGTTGGCAGCTCAAGTCTACACAGAGATGCCTCAGAAGAAAGACGTTGATCTGACGTTACATGTAACAGTTGCTTAGGGCAATGTGGAGGAAGCGCTACTGAGCCTTTATTGACAATCCCACAGTGATCACAGCTCTGTGAGGAGAAGCAGAGGGTGCAGCCCTCACTTAGCGAGGTCAGTGATACTCCTTCTCTTAGAAGTGCTGCAGTTCCGTCATTAAATGCCTGGCATAGAAAAGCAGATACTTCCCACAGTCTGCTCATGTGCTCCAGTGTCAGAGCAAAAGAAACTTTCTTCATAAATCCATCGGTCATTACTGACCCAAACCTCTAGAGCAGAGGCAAATCAAGAAAACTCCATCCACTATCACGGGCAGAGAATGGACGAGAACAAGGTAGCAGAATAGAACAGACAAATGAGAGAGAGAGAGAGAGAGAGAGAGGAGTGGGAGAGGGAGAGAGGGAGAGGGAGAGAGAGAGGAGTGGGAGAGGGAGAGAGAGATGCTTGTGCCTGGTTTCCAGCTCTGTCACGTAATGCACTTCATCAGCTTGAAGAGACTGTTCAGCATCTGCGTCTTGGTTTTTCCATCGTAGGCAGGCTGAGTGTAAAATGAGATCATATAAATATGTGTGTGATTTCATACTTAGTGCAAAGTGAGGGACAGTGCATTTCAGAGACCTTATCGCTTTATAATCTGCATCTGTTTTCGAAGTCTTCTTTCCCAGTCGTCGGAACAATTTCATCAGTAAGGATGTGAGTGAGAGAACAGTTAAAGGCTCTCTGGCCTTTGAGCACATTCAACGAGACTTTATCTATTTGGTTCAATAAAGTGGGGGCTGTGAAACTGTCCTCCGTCTTCCGCGTAGGTTATATAGTTACTGAATGTGACGAGATAGAGGAGAGAACTGCTCCCACACCCAAGATGTGAGGCCAGCATTGCCAGGGATGTGAGGTTTAATAGCATTAAAAAGCACCCTCCACCCAGGAGTCTCTGTCAAGTGATCATAACCTTGCAGTAAAGAAACTGCTATAATTAAGGATTCCAAACAATTCTTCTTATAAA